GTAGCACCTTCATATACATTTTTAAAATCACGCAACCTTCCTTTTTTAGGACAAACTAGTCTCTTATGGATTCTTCCAGGTTGTTACAACTGCGGCTCGTCTATATAAAGCCTGCGGCGTCCCTTTGCACAGGTGCCCCCAGTTTATTTCCGTGGTTCCCCATGGACAGACTTTGCGGTCGGTCTTTGGTTACAGCAGATGCGCCCGCATGGACGACCCCGCACACGCGACCCTGCGCACATTCAGCGTTATCTCCACGCGGGCTCGGCCTGGGGAGAGCCCTGAGACTCAGCCATTGACTTCACGGGCCCCTCCTTCCCCCCGCCGTGAACAGCGCCGCCGGACCGTGCATCTCGGCGCACACCTCGGATTACTCCCTGCGATGCGCTTCTGGAAGCAAGTGCTGGTTAAACGCATTGTAACTTTTAAGCTGCTTCGGGTCCATTTTACCAGGGCCGCCCCGGGTGCACTGCTTAGGGGGTGGGCCTCTCGGCTGGACTCTCCCCAGGTTTTCGGGGTTACGTTTTGCTGTGGAACCCCGGCCAAGTGACAGCTTCTGTCCACAAGAGATGACAGTGGTCACCTCAGATCGACAGAGCGACCTCAGGGGACGGAAACAAGCTTCGGGTAGTTTTCTTCAGCGACAAAGTTCCAAGCCGGGGCTCGGCCGGACCTGAGTGGAAGGGGCCGGGATCCAAGCCGCCCGGGGGCGCTGGGAGAGCAGAGCCCCGGTCACTCAGAGCCGGCCCGGGGTGGCAGCTTCAGCGCCCCGCTCAGGGACTTAATGCACTGACCTTGGCCCCCTCCCCCTCGAACCCACTGGAAAGTTCAAAGCAGCCCAACCGCACAGCAATGGCCCGGGCAACCAACGTGGGACGTCAAGTGACGAGAGAGACCGAGCACGGCCCCCCCAGCCGCGCGGGGCACCACAGACCCCCCCGAAGTCCCCTTGCCCCCCAGGTTCCCAGTCCCGCACCTCCAGGAGCCCCGGTCCTCCAGTGTCCCTGCCCCGACTCCCCCGTAGCCCAGTCCCCCC